TACTGCCTTCCCTCTGAGAATACCTTCCATCAAGTCATGTCAAGAAGCATTTATTAATAAGATATACAGGCAATGGGGTACCGAAATCTATCCTGCCCTACACGGAAATTGAAGGGGAAGGGGACAAGAGAAGGTGGGGAGAGATAGAAGGGAGGGCAGATTAGGGGTATTCAGAATGCAAGACATCTTGGGGTGGAGGGAGGGATGAGATGGGGAAAAAATTTGGAACTCAATCTTGTGGAAGTGTATGTTGAAAACTAAAAATAAATAAGTTCATTAAAAAAAAAGCATTTATTAAGCTCCTACTAAGTGCTACAAAGAAAGGCAAAAAAAACCCAGTCCCTACTCTTAAGGAGCTCACAATCTGGTGGGGGAGACACCATGCCAACAATTATGTTAGCGCAAAATAGAGACAAGATAAATTGGAGATCATCTACATGCAAAGTACTAGCATTAAAGATACTGCTAAAGTATATAAATTTTGTATACATTTTATATGCCCATAGTTATATACATGTTGTCCCCTCTATTAAAATGTGAGATGCCTGAGGGCAGGACCTATCTTTTGCTTTTCTTTGTATCCCCAGCAGCACTTAGCAGGGTGCCTGGCACATAGTGAGTACTGAACAAATGCTTGTTTCACTGACTCCTGGAGCACAGAATTAGAACCTCACTCTACCTACCTCAAATCAGTCCATACCATTTTCAAGTTTTTACTCATCTAAGGACAGAAAAATAAAACAATTAAATGAAGGATGCCATCACCCCTTTTCCTACCCATTTTTTTTTAATGGGGTAAGTGACTTGGCCAGGGTCACACTGCTAGTAGGAGTCAGAGGCTACATTTAACTCAGGTCCTCCTGACTCCGGGGCCGGTGCTCTATCCACTGTACCACCAAGCTGCGCCTTTCCCACCCACTTTTGCAAGCACTGGTCCTAAAATCCGCACAGATACTTCGGGGGCCACCTCCTCCTCCTCCTCCTCCTCCCTCAGTCGTCCCACACGTCAAGCCCTATCCCAGGCACCCAGCACGCTTTCAACTAAAAGCCCCACCCCCTTCCTCAGGCTCCTTCCCCACGCAAGCCCCCCGTCCCCCGCCGCCTCTGTAGGGCTCACTCAACAGCCGCCTCCTTTTAGGCCCCACCCCCGCCAGCGGCTTCCTTTCCCTCGGGCCCCGCCCCCTCGGCCTCTCCTTAGACCAAGCCCCGCCCCTCTGAACATCTTCCGACCACCAGCCAAGGGACGGCGCCGGCGCCTCACCTCAGCTCTGTCCGGCCCTTCGTGCTCTGCTCTGCTCCCGCTCCCGCCCCAACTGCAAGCGGAGCAGCTGCTCCGGCCTCCCGTTGGACCGGCCCAGGAAACGGCGGGCTGAGCAGACAGAAGGAAACGTCGAGACCGACCGCGCAGGCTCGCGGTGGCTACTGGGATAGAGGAGGCTCGGACCCCCCCACCCCCGTCCGCCGTCCTATGAGGTGGTACATTTGGGCGTCGTATGTTAATCAATCAAACACCCAGCAGCCACTGGGTGTCTCAGTGAAGCAAAGATTGATTCTCAAATAGAGACATTCTCAAGATCTTAGATGATAAAAAGACGTTTAAGTCACGTACAAAACACGTTTTAAGGAGATAGGAAAGAAACTCTGGAACCCAGAGCATTTAACTAAGTCGCCATATGTGTAAGATATGTAAATTTCTGGACCTTAAATACTCCGTATAAGAAAGCCTTGTTTGTGCTCGCTTCGGCAGCACATATACTAAAATTGGAACGATACAGAGAAGATTAGCATGGCCCCTGCGCAAGGATGACACGCAAATTCGTGAAGCGTTCCATATTTTTGTCTCCCTATGAAAAGCGAGAGAGTTTCTCTCACCCTCCTCTGCCTTCCCTGGCCTGGGAGAAGTTACTGCCTCTCCAGGGATGCTTTCCTTGGGTCAATCTAGCCGCCAATCCAGAGAAACCTTTGCGGCCCAGGAATTTTCATGCTCTTTTGTGGGTATTTCTTCTTAGGGAGACAATTGAGAATTAAAGAGTAATTATTAGCCTGCACCCAGAGTTCAAACTGAACCGTGTGTAAGCCTTACTCTTGGTCTCCTCATCCTGCTGGGCAAAAACAAAAACTGCATTAACATTTCTTCTCCTACCCTTCTTGGAATGCACTTCCTGGTTACCTCCAGCTCTTAAAATCTCTAGCTTCCTTAAAGTTTCAATCAAGGCTGCTACCCTCAGTTGGGGGCCTGTCCTGATCTCCCAGCCACTAATGATCCCAATTATTTGGGATTACTTTGTCAATGTGCACTCCCACAAGCTTCCTGGGACTAATTTTCCCAAGCTGGGTGAAGAGAAAGGAGAACCAGCAAAGAAATCTTACACCTGCTAATCTCCCATAGAGAAGAGGACAAGGGAGCAGGCACTTTGTGGGCTGGCAAAGCACAGGGGGGCTACATATAACTTTGAGCTCAACTCCAGCACCACCTTCTACTCTGCTTCCAGCTGCCTGGGCCTTGCCTACAAAATTACTTTGCCCTTCTTTTGAATAGACTTACATACGCATGTCTAGCCAGAGAATGTAAGCCCCTTGAGGGCAAAGGCTCTTTCATTTTCTGCCGTATCTCCAGTGCTTGGCACATGGTAGACGCTTTAAAAATGATTATTGATTGAATGAATGAAACCACTCAGCCCATCACGTGGTTGGCATTCAGTACGTGGTTGGCATTCAGTACGTGCTGAATGAAATTACACTTCAAGAAGATAGCAGGGGGTAGGCCAAAGCACCTTGGATCTGGAGTCAGAAGACCCAGGGTTCAAGCGTTTGATCTACTATACACACAGTGTGACCTCTGGCAACCTCCCTGGGCCTATTTCCTCCTCTGTAAAATGGAACTCACACACCTCTACCACCTAACTCACAGGGCAGGGTTAAGGAAAACACTTTACAAACTGTTAAGCACTTGAGAAAGGTGAGCCACTATTAGGAAACATGTCAAAAAACCTCCTCAGTTTCTCAAGAAATATTAAGGAATAAATATTTTTCATTGCCTAAAGCCCTTTTCAGATTTTTTTCCCTTTAGGAAAGTGGGTAGAATAGAAGCTAAGACCTTCCTTTTTTTTTTTCTTTTGCTTTTTTGGTGAGGCAATCAAGGTTAACTGACTTGCCCAGGGTCACACAGCTAGTAAGGCCTTCCTTTTAAGTGGAGAAAAGATGGAACTATCTGGGACTAGGTTATACCTCTTTTCAGGTTAAGATTCTTGTATCTCCTTGCCTTCTGAAAGAATTAGGGGGTGACCCACCCTTCTCCAACCAAAAAGACTGGGACAGTTAGAGGGAGGAGACCCTTTTAGTCCCTGGGGCTAGTAGTCAAGGAAGGAATAGAGTAGTGAGTATGGTTCTAGAATGGTGATCTTAAACTACATTTGAACATATTATAACTTTTTTGTTGTTGTTCAAGATTCTTATAAATATCAACTAAAATTGTCTTGGTGGAGAATCAGAGGACAGAGGGAATGTACCAACCTGGACATATCTTTCTCTAGGCTAGACATGCTTGGATTTTAGAATGATGTTAAATTAATAAAAATTGTTTCTGGCATACTGTGCCTAAAAGACAGAGCAGAGAATCAATATTTATTCCTTGAGGATATTCTGCAGTAAGTGGTGTAGTTTTCTCCATCTGGTGAACACTACAGGACCAGGCATAGATGCATGGAATGAAGGGACAGAGATTTCTTTTGGGCCTTTTTCTCATATGTTAGCAAGGATTTATGAAACACCTACTATGTCACAAGCCCTATGCTAAGAACTAGGGATACAAAGAAAAACAAAAACATGGTCCCCACCC